CCAAAAAGACTCATGGCTGTATTAGCTCAAAAGGGTGCTTCTACTAAATACTGAGCAAAGGGTCTGAATACTTATGACCATGTGATATTTCAGTTTTTCTTTTTTAATAAATCTGCAAAAATGTCAAATTCTGTGTTTTTCTGTCAATATGGGGTGCTGTGTGTACATTAATGAGGAAAAAAATGAACTTAAATGATTTTAGCATATGGCAGCAATATAACAAAGAGTGAAAAATTTAAGAGGGTCTGAATACTTTCCGTACCCACTGTATATAAATATATGCAAAGATTACAGAACACTACCCGGGTGGCTCCCTCCGTCAGACCAGCTGCTGGAGAAGAGAAGCCTCCTGGAACACTGAGCCTAATACATTTATACAATTTCTTGGGTTAACCCCTTTACGCAAACAGATATAGAATCATCATGAGTTGGAGACAGTCCGACATCTCCTCCTCTTATCTTATGCTCCACATGCGTCAAGCATTAATCGGAACAAATGAAGAACTCCATGTGTGCGTACAGTATGTTGTTACGTGGTGTTTAAGTAAACCATTCATTCAGACATGAATCTAACACCAGATTAATACAAGAAAACAATTGACGTCAAGATACACTTTTCAGATTTAACATTATCTTCTAACCTTGAAGCAAAGCACACTAGAGCAGACTTCAAATATTACTAACTGCATTAATAACACATTAAAACACAATGTCTATAATTATCTGACAGAATTATTAATTTCTAACAACTATATGTTTTTAAAGTGCTATATAAATAAATTTGATTTATTATTTGTAATTGGTAATTTACTGTAACCACACAACAGAGAGCTTTTTTCCAAGCTTTGAAAGTAGTGGGTGGTGCCTACACAGGCCCATACATTCGCTGTACTTCCTGTTTTTTTCTTACCCCACCCCACACAGTGATACTCACAACTCACTCATATCTCGGGCGGCTGTGGCTCATGAGGTAGAGTGGGTCGTTTCCTAACCGGAGGATTAGCAGTTCGATTCCCGGCTTGTCCAGTCAACATGTCAAGGTGTCCTTAAACAAGACACTAAACCCCCAGTTGCTCCCGGTGATGTCATCGGTGCGTGAGTGCTTGGAAGTGCGAATGGGTGAATGGCCAAATAATGTGTGAAAGCGCTTTGAGTGTGCTGTAAAAGCATAGAAAGGCGCTGTATAAGACCATCTCCAGACCAACACTTAAATGATTTTACTGTATATATTACAAACCAATTATATCAGAAACCTATTATTCAATCTGTATTTTGTGAAAATGAAAAAGT